AGAACTCCTGGTACTGATTTTGACTGGCACGGTGCAGCATGACATGCTTAGGGATAGGTGATCTTAGATGCCATGCAGTTTCCAGGAGGTGTGCTAAAAAACCACAGAATCATAGAATCATTAAGGTTGGAAAAGACCTCTAAGATCATCTAGTACAACCATCTACCCAACGCTACCGTGACCACTATAACATGTCCTGAAGTGCCACCTCTATGCGTTTTTTTTGAAGAGTGATGTATAGCACTGGGCTGATGCTGGTTTGCTGAGTAAGAAAGGGAAAGCTGCCATTTCAAAAAAGCTGTTGACCTCAGTGGAGTACAGCACAGTGAATGAAGCCTTTAGAGCATTTCTGGACCAGCTTCAGGGTGATATCCTCTCAAGAGAGAACAGAAAAATCTTGGAAATGACAGTCTGTTCATCTAACTCACGGTAAGGTGAGAGCTTTTGGCAAGGTGGGCTGTCAAATGAAGCACTCTGGATATCACCAAATGACTCAGTCTGAACTTCTATATTTTAACCCCAAATGATTAATTTCTAGTTTCAAAATGGAAAATCTAGTTATCTTTTGTTTCCTCTTCAAACATCAGCCAGTTTTAAGCACAAAATTCTTCTAATCAAACAAACGAACAAAAAATTGACAATGATGGTTGGCTCCTACCCTGCGGACATCGAGGTCCAGCCCCACTAGGAACATGGTTCTGGGCTTTACCTCTCCCCACACTGCCCATCCAGCGCCCAGCCCCAGCCTCCACAACCACGCAGAAGACGCAGCAAGGTTTTGTATCCCCAAGGTTGCCGAGAGAGGTCTGCGACAGCTTGGGCTGACTGCAGAAAGCTGTGTTGCAGAAAGTTGGAAGTTCCTCCAAACCCAGATCTGCTGTGATTTCCTTGACAAGGGGATTGGTGAGAATTTGGTGATCTCTGTGCATGCCTCCTTCCTCATTTTTAGACAGTAATGGTTCATAAAGCAAATTTTTGTGTTGAAAAACACATGAAGAAAGTTGCAAGGTCTTTTTTCCAGTTCTTACCTGGTTAGTATAAACCTGATAATGAATAAATTACATTGTTCTTATTGTGCATGAAATTATTCTTCTAATCCTACTATTTTTGTTGTGTTAAAATTCCCCACTAGCTTTTTAGCTTTATAGCCACCATGGGCCAAAATGATTTTTCAAACATATACTTGAAATATTTTGACTTTTGAAAAGTCCTCATCACCATTAGCATAAAACACCAAAAAACCTTCTTAAAGAAAATGGTTTGTAAAATCAAAACAGGACTACGGCTGTTCTACCATGCTCTTCTTTTTGCCACCCTTAACCTGCCTTCTCCCTCCCAGAGTTTTTGGGTTGTGCTCTCTGCTTTGCAAAATCATGGGTCCTCTTGTGATGTGTGACCTGAAATTTGAGCCATTAGAGACGGGCTTTTATACCCTGAACTTCTCAGATGTGCTACCAAAAGCATGAGGATTCAGCATCATACCCTTTGAAATCCCATTTGGAAAAGCAGAGCTACAGTCAAACCTCTTCTTTGGGGACGCTGCTCCTCAGCAGCTGACAGCCAGCTCTGAAATCACAGTATTTTTGGAAAAGACCAATGGAAACAGATAGATTACATTCCCTAAGGGGTTCATCTGGTCGTTCACAGCTCCTGAATTGATACAGAGGTTCTACCCCACATGTGACCGAGCAGTTCATGCACGTACTCGCACTGGCAGAAAGCTCCAGCAGAGATGTAACACACCTGGAGCAGTAACTTAAGCGAGTGATGAGCACTATGCCGGCAGCAAGACCTTGCAACAGAAGTGATAAGTGACAAATCTGAGGAGTTTTACAGTACTAATGCTTGTTATTGCTTCTCACAAAATGTTACCAAGCTTACAATAATCTTTACACTTTCAGCAAAAATGTGAACAGTATATTTGAATATATTAAAAAGAATTAAAAAAACATTTCACAAAAAACATTTGTTGCCATATGAAAGTCTTTCAGCAATAAATGCCCACACCAGTATTTAAACATTGTTAAAAGTATAATGATTTGTACTAATAAATTATGCAACAAGAGAGGTAAACAAAATAAAATTACAGTATAGCTCTCCATGTTCCTCCACTGAGCATCCGCAGCTTTTGGAAGCTCCATTTTAGATGACTAATTAAGAAACCGATATTTTCAGAGCAACAAAAATAAAAGCTTTTATTTGTTCATTTGAATATAAAACAGGCGTTATCACAGATGTACAAAGCGTACTGGTGGTTTAACATACAAGAAGGTTGCTGTCCTTTGCACATAAAAATTTTTGTTTGAAACTGTGATTGGCTGAGTTACATGAATTTCTCTAACCAGTCACCACACTCTATGAAATAACGCTGCTAACATTCAACTGATAAAAGGGACAGTCTTCCCTTGGGTAAAGTGTCAAGCAGGATTAAATATATATAATAAACAAGCACCATGAGGAATCTGCTCCTGTTTGATTAGTTTCGTGTTTAAATGTTCATTGTGTACCCTCTCTTTTTGTGCATGTGCATCAAGTTGATTACATGGTTTTGTCTGACTCCAAAAGCACAAGGTCACAAGACAAACATTTTATACATTCTCATGAATGGTTTATCTACAGTACAGTTTCTAATACAGAACAATCCTTCTTTATTGCTCAGTCTGATGGTGCTTAAATGTTTCCTTCCTTTTGCTTGCACAACAAAACCAGAAACTCAGTTTATCATTTCTCCTAACTCAGGATTTAACAATCACAGATGACAGGTTGCAGAAGAGAGCTGTTATTAACTGCGTTTCACAACTGCATTGCAGTTCTTTTATTCTCTATGAATGCAAAGTTGACATCGTGAAGGTTAAAGTGATGCTTCGAACGACAGCGAGGTTTGTTTCGCAGTACTGAGATCAGCGATAGCAGGACTTCACAAGTTAGTTCACGCACTGCATTTATGTTTGTAATCAGTCAACATCTTGTCTGAAACCTTACAACAACTTGCCATTAAGAACAGATTTTATTCTTTTTAGGGAGCAGAAAATGAATTTGACAAAATATAGGATTGGTCTGCAGAGCATGGATAGGGCTATTCACAGGACAGTGAAGGCGGAAAGGATGGCCCGAAAGAAAATGAGCCTGACGTGGCGAGATGCTCTGTACTGTACATGCAGACTAAAACGCCCCTACCTTTTAAAAAGATTTTAAACACCCAGCATCGAGACTCCCTTATACGCGATATAAACATGATTACATTTGCCCTGCAACAATCTTAGTCATGCATATCCGGTAATGAGAGCCAGCACACGAACGTCATTCGGGACAATAAGAAAAGCATTCTCGGACTGCAGCTGGCAAATCCCACTCTTGATCACAAACAGGTCAGTTCAGTTACAACCACATGAAGGAAGGGGAAGGGTTTAAAAAAAGGGGCACGGGGCGCAGGGAAGGCAACAGAACTGGGGGATCGAACCTCTCTTTTATCCAAAGGTAGCAAAATGAAGGCAGCTGTGATGCATGTTTTCCTACTCTCCTCCCGTGGCGGCCTCGGATCGAAGACCGCGGGACTCCTCCGTTCTTTCAACAGGCAGATCGGTTCCTCTGATGTTTTAATGCGTTTAGGGACTAGTTAGCAGATGCACGATTCGTGCCAAATCAGTTGTAGTGACTGTACGCTCCTCTCTGTTAAGGAATAAATTAAAGACCATCGAAACAATCGTTTCCTGTAAATGTAAACTGGATGCGTTGGCCACCGAGCTACGTGTCCTAGCCGAGAGGCAAATTGATAACTCTGTGCAAATAACCCCAAAACTTTTCCTTATAGCAATAAAAACACCAACTAAAACAATGAAAAAAATTGTGCAACAAAGTTCTGCAGCTAGACAACAGTGCTATTCCTCAACCTGCCTTTTCTAATTCTAACAAGTGTATGCACATGCCAGCACAAATATTTATTGTTGCCTCCATGGCAAAGAAAAGAAAATTATTGTAGTGCATTTTTAGTCTTAAATTCATTCACTGCCTTAAAGGCAGCAATAATTCCACTTGCTGGTATCTAGAGGATTCTTTTCGACAGGGATACTTAGCAATCCAGGATTGCTTCTTTTTCGAAAAAATTTGTGAGTAACATTTGATTATCTACAGTGGGAGACACCATGCAAGTGACAAGTACTGCATTTTTAAACTTTAAAATCTTTTGTCATTAGTGAATTTATATTTCATATATATATATTTGATGTGATACTATCCACTCAAGATAATACAACACTTTGTTTTTATATTAGCAAACATTTCAAGAATTTAATATTCTTGAATGTTTTTTTCTCTTTTATACTTCTAAAGAGATCAAAATAAATTAAACGTTTTGTACATAATTACAGAAGAAGTAGTTAACTTATTTTATCTTTTTAGTTTAGTACAAAGATATTTGCAAGTTCATTGCCGAAATACACCTTATTTATAAATTTCTTCCATTCTAATGCTAACAGCAAAGGCTCTTTGGCCTTTGGACTTTCAGCATCTTTGACAGAAAGCTGCAAGGTTTCTAATTGGAAGGTGCTACTTTGGGTATTCTCGTACCACTACATAGTTTCCTAAGATGTGGGATCTAAAATGGCTTAAGTTAGTAACGGATCTGTATTCATCAGCTTTTTATGTCATCCTAAAACAAATGAAGAAAACAATTATCTGTATTAGTATGAAAATTGTGTTAAAAGAATCCATTTGAAGGGCAGAATTAGAAAAAAAAAATCTACTTCAGCTTACTTAATGTAAAATACAAAGCCACATTTACTCAAAAAGCAGTATTGTCCAATAAGCAAAACCAGAAAAGTTTAAAATGGGCTTTTCCAACACACTGAAGGGCCTTACCCCATAGTCCTTCTTTTCTAAAATTTAGTGGTAAAAGAAAACATTTCACATTTTATTTCCTGCCAATCGTGACTGCTTTGAAGTCGTAATAGAAACAGTTCCATTCTGATGAGTGTCAGCATCTTATCTGCACACTTTCTTAGTGGACACCAAAAAATTTTATACATCTATAGTAAAGTCCATGGAAGCTTTAAGGTACAAGACTACATGTTGTAGGCCACATAGATGGGGTCTAGCTGGTCTGCCAAAAATCCATCTCGTAGGTGCATACGTTGTTTCTCTCCACGGGAGTTGATAGGAATTACACCAATGTCCACAACCACCACCACCCCTACAATCAGGTAGTGTTCCTCCAGGACCACGTTGGTGACCAAAGGAACCAGGTCCAAAGCTTCTTGCTCCGATCCATCCAGCTCAACTACAACGACCAATAAATTTGTCCAGGTGAACACCGCACTGGAACAAACGGAAAAATAGTATTAGGGGTGGAGCTTTTTACCCTTTATCTTCCACCTTGGTTACCTTTTGTTTCAACACCCAGGGCTCTTCTGCACGCTCGCCACAAAGCGTACACAGCAAGAGAGAACATGTCTGCAGGCAGCGGCAGAACAGCCCCACTAACTCTCGCTTTAATATTGCTGCAATGCTAAGTATTGGGCTAAACATTACAGAAACTCGAGTCTAACCCTTGCCCATCACGTAAGGACGCAGTAAGACAATGTGTGGTTCCCTCTGAAGCCAGAGAACTGTCACAGCATGGCTGTCTTCATGAAGGTCTGCGTGAGCAAGGGGTGGGTGGAGGTACCTTCTCCTGGGTTTTCTGAAGAGCAGCCCAGAAAAGCAAAGGAGGTTAAAAGAGGAGGCACCAAAAGGAACAGCAGGAACACGGTCCGAGTTGAAAGACCTTTGGGAGAAGTTCCTGCCTTGTGAAGGGGTGCGGAGCCCTGGGAATGTTTCCATGGCATACCGCAGGCTGCACAGAGGTCCCCGGGGTGGCTGGGGAGGGGGCTGCCTCTCCTGCACAGTGCTGGGGCTGCCTCCCTTGCACGGTGCTGGGCAGACGTGGCTAAGTGCCTTCTGGACTGGGCAGGTCAGAGCTCAGCTTAACAGAATGGGTTGTAGGAGAAAAGTATCTACTATTAAAAAAACATTTTCACATCCCACCAAAGTACTATTTGATTGAAATCTTATGTGCTTATTGATCTGGAAAAGTAATGGGCAGGCAAAGCAAGGCTGTGCAGGCTCCTTTTGACTTAGTACTGCTATGAAATGAATTTTAATTCATAATTATGTTTCCACAGACATTCCAGTAAGTTTTGATTGATGATGAATATTAACAAAGTGAAGCATCAGTCTGCACAGGTGGCCATCTCTACAGAGGTCCTAGAACTTTTATGGATTGCTGTACAAACATCTAAATTAGTATTATATGTATTTTGACAAAAAAACCCTGGTGGGGGTTTATTATGTAAGTTAGCACCTGAAATCATACAGTAAACTTACTGTTAGCTTGTTACTTGGGAAAGAAATTAATGGCAAGATTCAGAAGCAGGTCTCTAAAACATATCTTAGGAGGAGTTTTTTTGTCTGAGTTCATACAAAGTCTGAGTTCTGATTCCCAAAACCTTCTATTAAGTCCTACAGCCACTGACAGACCTAAGAAAGTTTCAATTTAATTTAAAACTCATTTCATATGTCACTATTCTAACTCACTGATGACTACTGTAAAAAAGGAGATATTGCCCTTTATGTTCTCAGCAATAGAGAAGAAATATTGGTCAGCAATTAACACTTACAAATAAGTTAACTTCCTAGCCCTGACAAATAAAAAAAAATGCAGCAAACAAAAAACTAGGGACCTGGGAAGGCTGTACTTTCTCAAGAAATGGAGTCACACCCAATAGACGCAAAACGACCAATGCACTGAGCTGGGAATGGCCCCTTGCTGCTTCCATCCCACAAAACACTTCAGGAAAATAAAGGAAGTTGCTGAAACATCTCCAGAGAAGGAGGCCCATAATGGTTTTCTTCCCCAAATACCTTGTGTAGCTTTACCTATTTGTCATTAAGCAGAGAGAGAAACCACTTCTTAGCAAATTCCAGGAAGCTATGTCCTCTTCCTCTTTCAAGGGTTTGAAGTTTAAATGAGTCAACAATGTGCTTTAATTGAAAGACGTACACATACATTATACTTAAGATATTTTGCACTATTAAAAATACTTTCAAAAATGCCTGATGTGCTTATACATCACACTAAAAATAGACTGTGTCACTCTTTTGATTGTTATGTATTGAGACCCAGGAGGTCCAGAGTTAGAGGATGTTGATTTTGTGCTAAAATTGCTTAAAAGACAAGAATAATTTTAAATGTCCTTTTAGACCTTATTCGCAGTGACTGAAGTTTCACAGCAGGATCATGAGTCAGTCAACAAGTCACTGCTTTCCTTGCTAGTGTTAAATGTTAGAAAATGAACTGGTGTTTCTTGGAAGCTGGGGCTATTTTCACTATCTATTGACCAGACATACCCAGTACCTTTGGTTTGCAACATGTATCTGTGCAGTTACATCCTTAATGGGTCATCACAACCGAAACAACAGCGGCCTCCAACAAGAATGGAGCGTCATGCTCCCATCCAAAGAATGGCATATACAACATATATATAGAAAGAAAAAAATAACTGGCTATTATTTTGTCAACAGGTGTTTCGCAAAGACAAGAGAAGAATCTCTAAGAGAAGCTGAAAGAGAAGTCAAGTGAGAAAAGTCAGGGACAGTCAGGACTAGGACTAAAAATGACAACTCCATGGTCGTGGCTTGAGAGAGCTACTGGGCAGAGCGCCAGTTAGGAAGAGGTTGGGAACTGTGAGCAAACCCATTTTCTGCAGGGACCGCATCAGAAAAACATCTTACTTGTAAGCAATCTCTCTTCTTTGAGAAAATAAACAACCCTGAAGACTTTCAATTTTGGCCTTTGGGCAAAGGGTATTAACAGTGCAGCGTGTTTTCTGAGATCTCGCTCATGTGCCTTGTACACTAACACCCAACTACTGGAAAGAGTTAAGGCATTGACAATTATTTGCACGTACTTCTAATTTCTTGCAGAAATTCAGTGGCCTTTTTCTTTGGTTCTCCCAGTCCACCCCAACCCTTTTTCTGTTGCCACTATCCCACTTGCAATTTCCATGATAACGTAAGGAAAAGGATCCTCAAAGGGCTCTCAGAGGTCTTAAAAAAGGAACATAAATAAAGCATTTTTGGCCACTGGAACCCATGCTGGCCATTTCAGCAGTGTGACAAGGCTACCACATTCACTGCCCATGAGCTCACACTTTGAGGACACACAAGTCTCTGAAAAACAGGTACTGCTGAACACATGGATTTATGAATCTCTGTCCATCTTATAATAGAGATGCCTCTAAATAGCTTCCTCTGAAAACTTTCCATCCACTGCTGATACCAATCTGACACATTTTCAAGGAGAATTTCACAGCATCCTTAAGGTGTTCACACTGGTGAAGACACAGAATCTGCAATCCTGTGCAATGGCTGGCTGGCACAAGACCATACTGGCAACGATGATGCTCTAGGGAGGAGGCCGTAAGTCAGAACCTCAGTTAGAGTCAGACAAGCAATTAACTGCCTTACTTTTATCAGATATTTCTTAAAAAACAAGGTGTTTTGTCCAAAGAAACCAGTGCTTCGATTTTAAGTTTACTGCTCGAGGCCACACCTTTGCAGCCAAGATTGAAAAGAGAAATGGGAGAGTCACGTCTTATACTTGCTAAATTGCCCTGGCCATTGCAAAAGGTTCGTTTTCGTTGAAGGGAGAAAAGCCGAGCTGAGGTTATGTCAAAACAAACCAACTACCTGACTCAGTCTTCTGATGCAAGAATAATGAAAAGCAATTTGTTCTCATCTCAGTCTCAGGAAATGATTACCTGCTCTGTGCATCTGATGATGTGATACATTGATTAAGACAACATCGTTATTAACTTATTGATTTACTGCTTCAATTGCCATTGTGACCTTGATTTGATCGCTGCTTGATTTATTAACAACCAATTCAAAAGTAATAGTGTGTTTATAATAAAGTTTATTAGTGTGTTCATGTATTTGAAATGTTTGCTTGCTTACTCCTTCTCATAACAAGACTCCTAGAGCTTGAACTCAGACCAGTTTGCTTTTCCTGGTTAGAACATAAATCTCAAACTCCAAGAAACAGCTACTGATCTACCTGAGGGCTGCTTGGCTCTCTCAGATTAAGAGTTTAATCCTTCACTTGTACTTAAAACCACACAAAAAAAGAAACATATCAAATGATCTTAGCAGAAAACAGTCCCTCTGTTACTGACAACTGGGTTACAAATCCTGTGACCATCCAGACAGGCCATTTCCTGGATCAATTGCAATATTGAAGGAAAAAAACCCAGACACTACAGATATTTGAGCTTTATATAAGGACCCTGGTGTTATATAATCCTTACCATTCTGTGATGCTCTTGTGTGCTCTAATTACAGAGGTTTCAATATCGATCGGATGGTATCTCATCCCTCGTAACTCCATGGCTTCATCTAATGCACCCACAACATAAAGTGCATCATGGCGTTCTGGTTGTAAGGGAAAAAAATATTTAATGATTCTATTCTCCAGCACATTAAATTAAAAAAAAAATCACATCAATAAATAAGTATGACATTTATAAATTATCCTCAAATTTCTGAAAGTCCAAAGTGATTTCCCATCTAATGAGAATCTTCCATTACTGAAGAGCAATGCAGAGCAGAAAGCAGAAGAAAGTAAGGCAGAAACACTATTCCCATTTGAAGATGAAAAAGGTAGAAGTCTATCCAAAGCCAGTGGCATAAATTTGTGGTTTTTATCCCAGGTGCATGCAAAACAGACATTCTTTTTTAATGTGCCCTAATCAGACAATAAGCTCCTTGTTTCTTGCTCTTTCGTTTGAAAGAGAAAGGATGGATTTGACCCTAACGCTATGGATATTCTTCCAGTAGCTTTGAGACGGTCAGTACTGATGCTTAAGGTGTATGATAAAGGTGTTTATCAATAAACTAGAAATGGGTGCCATGTGCCAGATAGCAAATTGCTCATTCAGACAAATGGCAAGGTCTGGAGTTTAATGGTCTTACAGCACAAATTTTTACTGACTAAAGAAATAAATGAGGCTGAAATGACACTTTTAAAAAGGTATTAGGCTGATAATAAACTATTGCATATTACCCATAAAGAAATAATGTTCCCTATTAGACTTAAAAGCACATAATTGACTCTTTTTAGATTAATTTAGATAGTTGCATGGTAGTAATGTAATGGCAATATAACCTCCACCAGTAATAAAGGGCAGAGAACTTTCTGCAGTGGAAGCTGGAGGTGGGAGCACGGACACTTAGCTGCTTTTTGCCAGGAGAAGATTTAAGTCATTTGGATGCTTAAGTTGCAGTATCCTCAGAGAATCCTGAATTTTCTCAAGGCTGGGCTGTCATTCTGAAATGAAAAAGCCTCAGCAACCAGAAGTAAATCTCTTCAGGAAGATCCTAATGTAAGGACATGGGCAGCAGTCGTAATCCGCAGAGATTACTAAAATGCTTTCAGATTTGATGAATTCACTCTCTGGCTTAACAGCAACTGTTCTGATTGCCCTGACACCAGGACCCTGGGATCACTCCTGGAGGTGCTCACAGCGTTGCCAGAAACCATGCTTTGCCAACAGCCTCAACAGTCACCACTCATGGCACCGTGCTCTGCAAAAATCACAGGAAAGTGATGTTTTCCCAAGCAGAGACTTTGTGTGTCTGGCAGTGCTGCTTTGCTTACATTTGTGCAAAAGATAAGGAACATCATAAAATGAAAGAACGAAATCTTGCACCTTCCCAACAGGAGCCCAAGCACCCTGTAGCTTCTACTGCAGGCTAATGCTTGAGTTATATTTCAGTAACCATCCCTGCAGGGACAGGGAGATGTGAGAAATGGACACATTCTGTAAATAAGTTTGTAACTGAGGAATTATCAAGGAAGGCAGTTGCCAGAGAAGGGACAGGGCTCAAGCTCACGACAAGGCATTTTCTATCTGCACGAATGCATTCCTGTAGATATGACTGTGAGAGCAAATTTAAACTGCATTTCCTATTGTTCAAGATGAAACACTTGGCAAAAAGCGCCAAAAAGTCACTGATGGAGCGGATTTATAGCACCTGAGGTACGGCAAAGGGAAAGCAACTGTTTCAGCAGGGAAATTTTGCTATCTATTTTGTTTTGTGGTTATTTTAACTAAGGCTTTTCTGCAGTTCTACAAGTTTCACAGATTGAACATGTTGGGTAGCACAAGGCCAAGAGACACTGTGTCAGCCTCAAAATAATCCAAATTACATCCACAGACCTAGATGACAAGAAACCTCCTACCTCCATTTGCATCTGTGAGTTCTGTTCTTCTCAGGAACCCCAGATAGCCAGTTCGAGCCCAAATAGTCTGTGTGTCTCCAAAGCTGAGTCGTGAGTTAAAATGATCCGACTGCAAAGATTCATCTCCGTAGATGGTAAAATACCCACTGGCATTGTGAGTGCTGTGAACCCATATCTAAGTTAAAAGCAATTATACTGGTATTAATTAAAGTAGCTTTCCAGAATGAAGCATTAATGAAAATTTTTCATGCAAATATTTTTAGTGATAGCTAGATAATGCTATGATGCCTTTTAACACTGTCTCTGAACCTGTATCCAACCCACTTTTAGGTGCAGAGAACTCAATCTAACCTTGCCACGGTCGGCGTGTGGATCCGAGCCGTGCCTGGGGCAGAGGGACGCTGCCTGAAGGGCTCAGCTGGCTCTGAGGTCTGCTCGGTTACGGCAGTTTTCAGAAGAGACTGCAGACCACAGCGCTCCTTCCACAGCAACCCCTAGCCCTCCCAGCTCAGCGTATTTACTCCAGCAGGGCATCTTCCATGAACATAAATTACTGAACACAAATTATTTTAAAGGGTGAGGACAGGGACCTTCACCTATGGAGAAGGATTCACTTCGTCTAACTCAAGGCATCATGGAAATTTTTGTGATTTTGTAGTAATGAAATCTTATAGATGAATATCACAAATTAGATTGTAGTTTTAATTACGACTAAGCAAATTCTTCACTTTGTTAATTACATCTTTAATTGCTCATTGAAAATGACTTTTCTTCCCTCTCTCTAGAAACATAAAATAAATTAGGAAAACATATAGCCTCGCTCCACTCAACTAATAGGAGTACTTCAGTGTGTTGAAGCACAATGACTATAAAGAGAATAGCACTAGAAAACCATTTAGCTGAAATTAGACTAATCAATAAACTTATTTTTTCATGTAAGTTTCCACCAGAATTAGTGAACCACCAAGTAGAATATACATTTAAAAAGCAGGTTTTTTCAATTTTTTAACAAACTTGAGCTACTATTATTTACCAAGTATGTTACTAGTAATTCTAATAATGATACAAATATCATGCTACACACTTTATATACTCTAAAGATCTGTAGAATTCATAATTTTCTTAAACAGGCTTTTGAAGAGATGTATTATAGAAAACTACTTGTGCACATAATGATAGCCTTATCTCTGCAATTTAGTTCAGAGCATCCGAAGGTTAAATTTTCATGACTCACCTCACCAAGATGAGAATCTCCTAAAGGTCCCTTTGTTTCTGGATTAGCAATAATGATACGTACTCCTGGGAGGATCTGTTGAAAGAAAACATGAGGTAGTAAGAAAGCAGATACTGGCTTATGCAATCGTATGCTGACTCTTCAACGCCAAAAAACCATCATTTGAAGAAATCCTTAAAGAGTTAAAGCAGACTCACAATATGAAAAATTAAAATAGTTCATAGATGTAATAAATTCTGAGATATCTGAGAAATGCTATAAACCCTCTTCTTTTTGCGAAACCTGTTCCATCATTAAAAACTCTACAGAAATCAAATATTCACCTACAATACAAAAATGTAAGCATACAGTCCAAATCCTTCTGAGAGTATATACTAGAATAAAAAAAAAACAAACCAAAAACCCCACAGAACTTTGGCCTGCAATAAAAAGAAAGCCAGAGGCACTGTGCAGCCTCCCAAGACAAAGGGCTGGCCAGTGACTTCATGTAATGGACATTCAACTACTGCAGAGTCTAAACCCTAAAACAGAAAAGCGAGCATCCTCTGACCAAGAGTGTTGGCAGAGCTGTGGCTAGAAGGGTTTCCATGAGCACCCACAGTGGGACAGGCAGGCAGGGAGTGTCTCGGGGCAGCAGCCATGGCACCTCTCCTTTCTCCCTGAGGCAGAGAAGACCTTGGCCATCGGTGCATGGCCAGCCATCGCAGCAGCATCCCTGTCCTTGAGTGTCAGTCCCGTGTCCTCCCTCTGTCCCTACCGCAATGCCACCTAGCAGGGACGGTCCTTGGGCAGGGGTCAGCAGCCTGTGAGGACAGCGTCGGTCATTTCGGACCAGTTCTCAGTGGAGGTGGGTCTACATTGACAGAAGTGCCTTCAGTGGCACATTTGTTGGCTTTTCCAAGACTGACATGTGGAGGATGAAACGTCTCCTTTTTGCATGAAAGAAGGACACACTTTTTGCATGAAAGAGGTAGGGACAGCTTCTGAGAGAGCAGCAAGGCATCAGGTACTGCCACCGTGCTGGAACGTCAGCAGTAAAGAAAAGTCCTCAGTCTGCACAGCTGAGAAAGCTTTCCTCAACAATACATTTACGTGAAAATGGAGAGAAATAGAAATTTACTGAAAATATTTACCATAAAAGGTATTTTTAAATCTTCTTTCCGTACTTACTTTTCCTGACTCCATGAGGGGCAAACTATGTGGAGATCCTCTTTCAACTAAACGAACTCTGTAAAATACATGTAAAAAATAATATGCATAATACATGGTTGCATTTATTTGCTTTTCATTAATGTTTGTTTCTAAGAGGAATGGTTAATAGTCACAGAGATTAATGTTATTTTTGGAACAGATGAAGCTTATATCCTGTAGAACATAATTGGGTCCAATATTCAATCTTAGTCAAGACTTATGGCTGGGAAAATAATGAAAAAAAGATAATTCTATAAATATTAAATTCTTCAAATGTAGTTGGTGCCTTTTATTTGTTTTTGATAGACTTTTGTAAATGGAATTCCATGCACAAATTTATTCACAACAAGAGGGATCTAAAATACTGATTTCCCACAAGAATTTTACAAATGACAGGGCACGGACACAAAAGCATGTGAGCTGAGTGAGCAACCACATTCCACGAGTAGCTAACAGTTAGAATCAAAGTCCTATCGAAATAACTCATAACCTCGCCTCAGCTTCAAATCTACATTTGCAATCTTTTAACTATTTTCAACGGACAGTGGTTGATAAATATTTTAATAGTAAAAAAAAATCATTTAATGAAAAATGCTGTTACTTTTAAGGTCAGATCCTTTCTCTGAGTGTGGCTTTCTGGTCCTCTCTCCTCCTTTTTTAGACAACTTTTTTTCCCAATAAAGGAACAGAAATGGCAGCTCTTCTTCAGTGGTATGATGGTCTGGAAGGAAATTCCTCATTCAACCTTAGGAAAGTACTCAGCAGTTTAGCATGAAAGATGCTTTAAAGTCTTAAAATAGCCGATAATCTCAGCCAGTAAATAGTGAAGAAAATTTAGTAATATCTAGGCATCCCTGTATCCTAAGTGAGTTACCGTAAAAGTTCTAACCACCCATAAAAACCTTGAACTTCTCACTCCTGAACATTTTTCATAATCCACTTAAGCAAGCTAAATCTGGACTTCTTTCAAAAGAACTGTTCTTACCTCTTCCCTCCTCCCACTTCTGTGATCACAAATTAAAAAAAATAAACCACACAACACAAGATGCCTAAAATCCAATGCTATAAAAGGTAAAGATGAAACATCAGGAAAGAGGAAGCCATAGCTGGGAGTAAATGGGTGGAGTACTGGATCCGGTTAAACTCATCAAGAAACTGCAGTCTGTTAAGAGCAGTCACGATAGATTTTTTTTGGACTGTTTTGAGGTCTTTTTATAGAGATAGTACTGTAGTGCTCAGTTTGGGAAAGGAGAGATGAGACACAGAGAGACCTCAGCTAGAGGTCCCTCTGGAGAAGAACAAAGCTTTGGCAGGTTCAGCCTCCAAAACATAAGGGGAATGGAAAAAAGATCTTTTTTGGTTTTTTTTTCTACTATTTCTTTGCTCCAAAAGTCTTCTATAAAAGCTGGGACTGCCGAGGTCAAGGCAGGAATAGTGAATACCATTTTATCTGCAGTTCTGGGAAGTCTCTCAACCTTGATAGGTAGGGCAGGGCTTAGCCTTGAGGCACTGCACATCAGTTCCTTGCACTAACCACAAGAGATACAACTCAAATACTCAGTAATTTCAGACTGCTTTTCCAAGTAACTTGGAGAGAAAAAAGACGTAAAGTGCCCTACACAGGGCCCTGCCTGGAGCAGGCACGGTTCGGCAGCTGTAGCCTGACCCGCTCTCCTGCAAGGTGTGCAGCATGAACCACCTTTCCAGTGTTTGTTCAGCTGCCACAAACTCTCAGACAGAGCTTGAAGCACTAAATACCATGTCTGTGTGTTACCTTTAATGTTATAGTGTCCTTGTTTTACACTTAAACCTCTGTTGTATTACAGGAGTGCCCATGTTTTCTAAATTGTTGAGCTTCCCACTAGCTAAAGAGCAGTAGGGCCATATATCTTTATATGTATCTTTGTCTTGTAAAATCCCTATATAGAAACAGAAAATGCCTTTAATTGAACTATTCCGAACAACTGACATCTCCAGTCTTTAGATATGTATTTGCAGACAGGTAGCTGTTCTTAGAAGAACTAGTCACCATCTCAACCACTTGGCATCTCCTTTAACAGATTAAGTTGTTTTTATTTACCAATGCTTGTCAAACAGAAAAAAAAGACAACCTAAAAAACCTCAGCTATTAGCATTGCTGAGAGTGATGGTCTAACAAAGGTCAGGAAGTACTTTATTTGAGTTTAAGATTGGTTTAAAAAGAATCCGATTTGGGTAACAGTAGCAAAAAACCTTTGGGGCAGGAAAAGTGGATGTCAGAGCTGTCCAGTTGCCCAGAGATACTGCTGGCCTTTGGTCCCTTCCCGTTATTGAGACATGCCTCAGTGAAGTGCTGCTGAACTCCAGTCCTAGCACAAATCACATAATAATAAACCTGCATACTCAATACTCTGTGAAGTGACTACTGGCAAGGAATCAGCATTCATAAACCTGACCTCCTCTTTGCATCTGTGCTTCCCACCTTGTTCTCATCATCACTAGCACATTTTTCTAGTTCCCTTCTCCACCTATTTCCTGTAACCCCGTCTGATTTTTTAGCACATGATGATCCAGAAGGCGCAAATTCTCAGTTTCCAATTCTGTTAAACCTCTCCCACTCTGTGCTTTCCGCCTCACATCCCCACAGAGTTATCGCGGCAGCGCACTAAACATAGGAACGGCATTTCCTCGAGGTTTTCTGTGAGGGCCCTGTTAGCGCTCAAAAACTTGGACTCCTTTTTAGAAAGTTTCTGCTAAGCTCACAACCCATTTGGGAACATGCTGTTAAACCTCTAACAACTCTGAAATAGTGAAAGATATTTTGCCACAAAGAGATTTCAGAAAAATAGAAGTAAAACATTAGATTCTGATGTTGCCAACTCCTATGTGCATACTTAATTCTAAGTGCGTAATAGCCTGATTAACTCTACTGGGACCAGTACTGTGAATAAGTTATGGACATTAGGCAATAATTTTAAAAATGAGTTTTACTGTGCCTCAGCATAAAGTAATTCAATTGTTCCCACTCTTCCCCTAGAGATTTCCATTTTTTCAGTGACAAACACAGAGAGCAGACATGACTGAAAGCTTCTTTTTTGAGCAGCATCACTATCACGCCTGGCAGGGAAGGTAAAAAGGCAGAGCCCAGGGCCCATCACATCCTTGAAAAATGCCTCTGAATTACCCAGGTGATTCTGGCAAAGAAACCCACGGCTCCTGACAGTCTTCTTAGGACAAGATTAGTAAACCTCCTGCAGATCCACAAACGATGACGGTGTGCTCCCAGACTGCAGAGGACTAGAAAGGGCAACTCCTGTCTCTCTGCAGTGCTTCAGCCTTTCTTTGTTGGGAGTGAAAATGATCTCTTACAGAGCGAGTGCAGAGCCTTCCCACTGCTTTCTGCTGCCATCCAGTCTTGCTGTGAAGGGCAGAGGAGAACATGGCAGCAGAGCCAGCCTGGGCAAAGAGCCCGAAAATCAAGTGGATGGAATGCTGCCTTTGGGTGTGAAAGCTACTTTTGCACCTTCTGATGGTTTGCAGCCAAGCTGAGAGGGAAAACACAAATGAGTGACCCAATGTAGGGCAGATACGGAGCTTCTCTCCCATCAAAATGTCTCTCTCAAGAGGCAGAAGATGTTTAAGAATTGTTGCACTGTTACAAAACTATAAGGAACAATGATACACAATGAATCTGTAATATTTACATAGTATAGGAGAGCTTAATGGTTAGATTTTTTTTTCACTTTTTTTCTTAAAAAACCTAATTCTTAGGATTCTGGAGCTGTCCAGTTGGGAAGGTTGCCTATGTTTCAAAGTCTGGCTACTGGGATTTTGTAGGGAATGTAGCTACAACACAAGTATGTGAAGAGACTTCTTTTCCTGGTACAGTTTAATACATTGGACAAATTTCCTCTTCTTGAAATCAAACACTTACTTAGAGAAAAGTAGGACTGAAATCTGACTTCAGAATCAAAACTAGCAATCTATAACTGGGCACTGTAACCACTGTGCAGAAAAGAGGATATTGAGATACCGTAACAATGTCTTTCTGCCCAACTATCTTACATAAAACTGCTAATTTTGTTTATGCTCCCTTTTAGAGCTGGTCCGACTGGTGATGAAAACTCTCCAAAATATATTCCACAGCTTGCTAGAGTTTTGCACTAATCAGAGAGTTTGTCAGCAGAGCTATTAAGTATTGCTCTGGGAATCTGCAGGGGCCGGAGCGTGCAGAGTGGTACTAACCAACATTACGATGCCAAAACTGGGCAAACCTTCAAAGTCGGCTGTGCTGTTGCTCTGAGAAAGACTTTGGATTCCGTGATTCTAATAGAGATGTAAAGAAGCTGTGAGGTCATCCAAGTCTCGCTCCCTGCCAAAAAAAGACTGTTCCCTGCAGTGCACTTTCGAGTGCTTTGTCTACTCCTGTTAGTGTTTCAAATGATGGGGCTTCCTTCACTTCCCATCAGAGTTTATTTCTCAGCTGAATGTATTTCATAGTCAGGAATCTTTTTGCTCTGTAATTCTTGGCAAGAACCAGTCTTAGCTTCCTCTTGTTATTTCTAACTAGCTCTCCATGCTCAACTCAAAGGAGGTTTTCCCACTGTTCACTTTCTCTTTAAACACAACTCAGCAAAAGAGTTTGCCTTTTACCCTAGCACTTGGCCAAACCTCACATCCTGAGCACTTTTTTTTTTTCCCCCTTTTTAGCCATTTCTGCAAACTGCCCTCCTTCTCATCACCAGTGTGCCAGTATCTTCTGCTCTTAGCCAGGCTTGGGCACTGAAGCGCTGAACTTCCCATCATCTGAAGCTTTTATTTCCTTTCCTACTCCACCAACCCTTCCTCCTGTCTGACCTGGTCTCACACGATGTCACCTCACAGTCACGCCAGTTTGGAAATCCATCCAGCTATTTGATTTCTTTAATACTAGCTATTGTGCACACTCATTTTGTTTTCAGTAGCTGTTTTGGGCTACTGCTGCTCTTGGAAACCTTCAGCAACAAAACCTAGAGGAAACCACATAGGGTGTGATCCACACATAACGCAATATATATT